GAGAGGTGAAACGGGCTTGGAGAAGGTGACTGCAGCCAAATTACAGAGATCTTTATTTCAAACCACGTTAAGGAGTTTGGATTTTATCTTAAAGGCAACCGCCTATCCCACTGCACCATGCCCGTGCTATTTATTACTAGTTGGCTATGACAGTGAGCTTCAGAATCCTCCTCAGCACATCTCTCTTGGTAGCCAATAAGAATGAACACGAATTGCCAATGAAGTTGAACTTGTAAATGTCATTGTTTTCAAAGCAATTCAAGAAACATTATCTTATTTCATCCCTATTTTACAGATGAGGAAATTGAGATTCACTGAATGAGAAAGATTAAATTTCTTCCATCTAGACCTGAGCTAAGGAGAAAAAAAAAGTACCCCTGCATATTCTCCCAAGATGACAACTCTAGGCCCTTGAGTCTGTCAGTCCCAGGCTGGGGTCAGACTTCACAGCTCCAGCCATCTGGGAAATACTAAGTCAGGCTCCATTCTGGTGTCTGTCCACTGCAGACCTGAACACATTTTTTTTTTTTTTACATCAGCTAGAGGTTGAGCTATTTTCCCTTTCAGTTTTTAAACACAAAAGTGTTCATTCCACCTCCTCCTGTCTTGGATAAGAGATCTTGTTGTCACCAATTAAGCTCGGATCATTAAGAAGCTGAGTTTGTTTGCTCATAACGGGCGTAGGGGGTGGACAACACATTTATTTCATAGCCTTTCCCCCTTTTCCTTTGGACACAACAGCTGAGTATGCTCCTCCTCTGGGTCAACTGAACTCGAATGCCCCGAAAAAGCGTCAAAACACAAAAAGTTTATCTCCAGCAGTGCCTCAGTGTCATGTACTGTTCCATAAATGACGGGAGAAGTTTGTGAAAATAGAATCAAGTTAAAGCTGCACAGATGGAGAAATTAAGGCTCAGAGGTTGAACGAATTCCCTGCAATTGCAGAGCGAGGAGGTGCATGGTCAGGATGTGAGTGTTTATGCTGGCGATCCCGCACCTTGTGTTCCAGCCTTTACGCCAGGTGGCTGCTGGAGTACAACCGTTATCTCCGAGAAATGGGATGCCGTTTCCAGTCATGACTGTCCCGGTATTGTGGGAGGCAGCATGGACTTGAGCCAGGCTCTGTGGACCGACTGGCTTGAATTTGAATCTCAGCCTTGCTATTTATAAGCAGGGTGACCTCAGACAAGTCGCTCAACCTCTCAGACTCAGTTTCCTCACCTGTATAACGCCGGCCATGCTTATCTGGCTGGCTTGCTGGGAGAGTTGCATCAGATTAGTGGTTTTCAAATGAGCGTTCACAGAATCACTTGGAAGTTTTGTTAAAACACAGAGGGCTGACCCCACGCCCGAGTTTTTGATTCTGCCGGCCAGAAATGGAGCCTGAGAATTTGCATTTTTCACAAGTTCCCAGGAGGTGTTGACACTCCAGGGAGCACACTTGGAGAGGGCTTGTATCAGACAGTGTTTATACAGTGCCTAGTTCAGTGAGTAGCTCACTCAGCATGAGTCCCCCGTCTTCTCTCCCTAACGGAAGGCAGGGTTCTTGAGGCAATGGGACAGCAGACAGTTCTGGTTAGAGGAAGAAAGGGAGAAGGGAAAGCTACTCACTCCATCAGCTAAGATGCTGTCGCCCAGGCAAACGCCAGGGGAAGCTGTAGGGGCAGTAGATCCTGAAATGAATGGTACAGAAATGCTAAGACAAGTGGGTAGGTCACAAGAAGGGAAAGGGAGGAAGGTCAAAATCAAAGCTCAGCAACCACCTTTATTGTCAACGGCAGACCTGGCTATGACTTCAGATCTACTTCCGGGTGGTTTTCTAGGCAGTTGCTGACCATGGACAGTCTTAACACACCTTCCAGTGTGCAAAATGCAGCCACGTAATTATTCCCTTGTTTATGTCAATGGTCCTGCATGGCCGGGGCCAGTATTCCCATTTTACGAATTTGTGAACTGAGGCCAAAGGGGTTAAGGCGTTTGCCCAAAGCCAAACAGACAACCAGTGAAGAATTAGAACTCAGATCTTGAGTTTTCCAACTCCACAGTCCCTTTTTTCCCCCCTCTCTATGATGACGTCTAGGTCTCCCTTTTGAGGTGCTATGTCCAATCACTAAACAAAGAAACTAGTCCCAAGAACAAAGGCTGATGTGTTCAGAATCTGATCCTAATCTCACGCATCTTTTGCACCTTGAGGTGATAAGAATGCTTGAGTGGGTCCTTCTGCTTCCGGCCTGAGCACTGGGCCGCTCTTATTTGCACAAACTTCTGCCCAGGCAGAGCGCACCCTGGCAGCCTGGGCGTGCCCCAGAGCAGCACTGGGATTTTCCGGGATCTGGTCGGCCTGCCTTTTGCCTTTCCATAACACTCACTCTTTGAGGATGTACATGCAGCTTTCTCTTTGCATTATTTAAGAGATGGTTTCCAGTAAGAGAAACAGTTGAAGTCTAAGTCTCCCTGTGATGCTGGTTTTCGGGATTTTTTATCTGAAAAATAAAATTGCTCTTTCCTCCTTCACTCATTTTATTTGTTGAAATGCCAGTAAATGGTACCAGCGCTTTGCCCAAGCTGACATCACTGCTGTGAGCCCCGGGGGAACTCCCCTTCCATGGTGGTCGAACATTCCTTGTAGCCTCTCCTGGGAGGAACCTGCAGCTCTAAACTAATCTGCAACCGTTTCCATCGCAAGCAAGGTCGCCCTTGTAAATGATGGGTTGATTGATGGATTGTTGGGTTCTTGTATTCCTTCAGCACCTACCATAGGATGAGTAAGAAATCGTCTCTAACGGGAAAATATGGTCTTAAGGGAGCAGATTTGGCATTCTCTATGTATTTTGTATAAAATCTGAAAGAGGAAGCCTTTGTTATCGGCCTCATAGTGTTGGAAATTGCACCAACAGACACTAGATTCATCAGGAAAATTAGTAGACCTTCCATCAGTGGACGAGTAGTCTCAGGATGCCCTCTGTCTTTGTTGTCCTGGGACATAGTTGGGAGAAACCATGATAACCATTTCCTACTGTTTTCCTCCACATGGATGGAAACACAGTCCTCCTGCCTCTCACTGACTCCTTCCCCAGATCCAGGAGAGACTTAATCTGATGAGTGTATTTGAATAGTTCAGTTCCTTTCTCTCCTTTTTCTTCCAGGAAAATGCCTTGCCTGTGTGCGTTTAATGAGAAAGACCCTGTCCTACATGCAGAAGCCGACAGCTTTCCAGAACTACCTGTGGCTGCACAGATGTCTGCTCATTTTGGAGTTTAGGATAAAGAAGCCCATCCACCAACAAGTATAAGCTGCATTCTCCAAAGTCAGCTTTCCCAATTACAAGGATGCTTTATTATTCTGTCTTATTTCTCAACGTGTTCAGGATTTGGGGAGTAAAGAGTTAACAGTATTATTTACAGGACTCGTTCAAACCCCAACACACACAAACACCCTAAGCACTGAAAAGCATTCACAGTGTTTATTGCTATTTATTATGAGAGCGTCATGTTATTTATTCAACAGATACATTTGTTAAGTGTAAAATCTGTGCCCAGCGTTATGCCAGGTTTTACGGATACAGAGATAAGATTCCTTCAAATAGTTTATGGTCCAGTAGGAAGGACCTTGTGAAACAGGAATTGCCTTGCACTGTTATGTTTGTTATGACAATAAAAGTTTGTACAAATTATGAAGGAAACTTAAAAAAAAAAACATGCCATAATAGAAACAGCAAGGCTGGGAATTTACACACACTCCAAACACAGAAATCCTACAGTCAAGGTCTACAATCTGTAATTTTCTTCTTCCCAACTCATAATCTAATATTCTTTTGCTCTTTTCTTTTCATAGTGTGGCAAGTAAGTTGCCAGCCTCAGCATTCTCAGCTCCACAGTTAGAACTTAGGTTCCAATCCTGGTTTTGCATCTTTGTTTGTGTGTTTGGGGTGTTTTAATTTTGTCTACAATTTTGTTTTGTCCTCTGGAAAATAGGAACTAAGTAACCATCTCTTGGGGTGGCTAGGTGGAATGAATTTAATCATCTGTATCAATGATTAGCTTGAGACCTGGTACAGAGTAAGCATTCATTAAATATTAATATTAACTTTTATTATCATCTTACTGTTCATTCAATAGAAATTCAACAAATCTCTTTTTTTTTTTTTTTTTTTTTAGCGTATCTTACACGGCAGGCACAGTTCTAGGGTCTGGAAATCCTCAATGAATAGAATGAATTGAACGAATGTAATGGATTCTTTCTTCTCCTCCAGGAGTCTGCTCCTTCCCAAAGGGGAGACCCTTTTCTCCTTTGAAAGATCTTCATTCTGGAGGTTTGCGGGTAAATTTGTGAATTTGGAGGCTTTTATTCAAATAGATTCTAATCACAAGTGGCTAATTTTCACTTCGAGCAGGTACTTAAGCCTAGGAAACATCCATCTCCACATAGTCTTTGATCCTTTAAAGATAAGTCTTGTAACTGTATTTTCCAAATAGTAAGTCAAGACCAATCGTCTGATGTTAATGAGAACCCAAAATGTCCGCATCCACACACCTTACTGCTCTATGTTACCCTGACTTTATTCTTCCAAGACCATGGAAGCATGGAATAATTATTTACTCTCCAAGACTCTTTGAAACCCTGTCTTAAAATCCTTCCTTTGCTAGATCCATCAGTCCTGAAGTGCTATGTCATGACCCTTACCCAATCAAATCAAAAGACCCACCTGAAAACAAGTACCCAGACCTCATAAACACCCCAGCTTTATCTTCACCTCTTTCTAACTGTATTATTTGGGCGCACATCCCTTACTTTCTGTCAACCTGAGTTTCCTAAAGGGAGATAGTAAGAATGGAGCAAATTTAGAGGAGCCTTATGAAGATTAAATGAAACAAGCCATGTGAAGTTTATTCTACTCTGAGCTATGGCAAGCACTAAGTTACAGCCAAAAAAGGAAACGTCATGATCTGTGAGCTCCCTGGGAATGGGTAGCTTGATTACAAGGACAGACTTTATGCTGTGGCTACAAGAAGCTCATGAACACACTGCACTTTGGGGTGTACCACTGGATTCTCTAAGTGGAGACAGAACTCAACAATGGCAGAGTTGAAGCATTCCTTCCGGTCTTTTCCAGGCATTTCCCAGCTCAGCAAATTTGGCCAGACTGGCAAAATCTTAAGGAAATAAATTTTCGGGAGAAATAAGCAGAGAAACCATTTTGACATAACAAAGCTGTTCATGCTGGTAGCAGACTGGATTGCCAATTGGCTTCATTTAACTTAACTCTTGGTCCCAGACAGACAGGCTCCTAGGGCCAGGGGCAGGATCACACAGCAGCCTGGGAGCTAACTCTGGGACTTGATGACAACACATATTTACAGCTCTGGACAGGAAGAAAGGAAGCTTTAACTGAGAAACTTCCCCAGTTCTGGGGACTTCATCTTCCACTATGAGGAGGAGAAATAGATAGACTATAGCAATTTCAACCCTTTTGGTGCTCAGAACTTAGTTGGGATTTCCCAAGTCTTCAAGTGGAGTCTCCCTCTAATTCTATTTTGGTTTATTGACTATTTAATGGATTACCTTGTCATTCAGAATATACTGATGGAGAGCCAACTCCAAATGAAGCATGTTGTCCCTCAACATGCATCTAGTTATGTAGGATAAGTAAATAAAATTATTAAGGTTTGTTGTGCTAAATGTTATGGAATGTCATTCACAGGCAGACCTCAAGGGGAGGAACTAGGGAAAAACAAAGACCTCAGTGACATGTTTGCAATCTGTTTGATGTTTAATTCATTCTGACTCAACATAATAAGATGAATAGGACAATCACAGTATCCCTGTGCTGTGTCCAGACCAGATGAGGATAATTATCAATGTGCAGCTGAACTGCATTTAACCAGTGTGTCATTACATGTTGTCAGACAAGCTGCATCTGAATCAGTCCTAAAGCATCATATCAGCCTATGACAAAGGCCTGATCGCGGCAGAGTGAGAACTACTGCATTTTCTTGTTGGAATTACGAATACCTTGATAGTCTAGAACATATGTGTACTATGGAAATTAGTTAAATTTCAGGACACATGATTTTGTTATCGGCTGGCCACCAAACTGGAAGACATTATGCCTGGCAGAAAGGTCTATTTTGGGTAAGAGTAGAAAGGAACCAGGGAGGTTTAGTATATGCAATCCTCACGCTAATTCATTTTATGTAATCCTTTGTTATGGTAGACTAGTTGTTCCAGGAACAGCATCACCTGTAGTCTGCTTTCAAGTGCTGTCAACGTGGTGAGTAAAACATTAATCAAACCTTTTTTCTAAGCCTATATAATGTCAAATAATGAGTGTGATTTGATTATTTTTCTCCCGTCATGAATTTCTCCAGATGACTGATCTAAATCTACTAACAGTGTCTAAGTTTGGATTCTACTGGAAAAAAAGAACTTATGATAGGGACTTACGAGCCGACGAGGTGGTCCCAGGAAGCAGGGATGATGGATCTGGGAGAGAGAGACAGGGAAGGAGAAAAGGTCAAAGTTAGGGGAAGTTACTGAGGAAGCTCCTGGGGCAGCTGAGATCTAAGTGTTCCTCAGAATTGTCCATCTGAAGGAAGGAGGCTGGTGCGTGCTTTTACCCATCAGCTCCTGCCTCCACTGGTTGAGTATTAGCCCGAGGGGGTTAATTCCTGCATTTCTAGGCTGTCGTTCCAGGGGAATGGACTCCTGTTGCCTCAGAGAAAGTTGTCAGGCAGAGCTGAAGACAGGCGTGCTCGCAGAGGGAGGTGAGTCTCAGTTCTCTGGAAACTGCCCTCTACAGCCACAGCTGAAATCAGGGCGAGCCAAGGGCATGTGAAAAGGAGCACCAAAGCTGTCTTCTGTGAGCACACGTGGCTTTTCCGACTCAGACATCTTATTTACCCTCCTTCCCCCAGAGTGAGTGCCAAACTGAGCCAGATCTTTTAAAAGAAATCATCTTCATCGGCCTTGCATAAATCCCCCTGTATTCTCAAAAGTGGACGTGAAGATTCAAAGGAAAAAACCGCTGTTGAAATGTGTTTCTAGAAGCATGTGTAATTCGGTAAGTCTGCATTTTCCTCACCTCAGCTTCTCTAAAAAAAGGACTAAGAAAAAGAAAAAGTAAAGAGTTTGTCCATGTTGTAGAGGTAGGAAGTATATTTTGTCACTATGCAATGACCACAAAAGGAGCTTTGGAGGCCATGTTCATAATGACTTCGCACACCCAGCCAGGTGTCCTTTTCTCTGTAGGGAGTTGGCTGGGCCATGTTGAATTTCTCCTCCTCCCTTCTCCCCAGTGAGGGCATCAGTATACCTGGGCATTTACTTCAGCTCTGAAGAAATAGACAATCCCAATGCTGACTTTGATGTCAGCAAGGTCCCCTGCAGTGAAGAGTTTTCACAGAGAGAATTCAATGCCAGCTACCCTCTGGTCAGGCCCTCTGGGATGTCAGAGGGGATGGAGGGCTTGGCTTCCCCAAAGGCAAGGAGCAAAGGCTTCTCTTTACCTTTTCATTGGCATAAAAGCTTGGGTTGTCTGAAGTTCTTTTTGCAAAGGGTTTCAAAGACAGCAGAGCCCAGAAAAAAAAGTTGCTTAGCAAATAATGACAATTCTGACATACCCAAAGTCTTGTGAGGTCCTCTTATCCTGAGGCTGGGGGGGAGAGGCGGTGTGACTCATGGCCCAGGAGAGCAAGCACAGAGGATTTCCAGACATATGTCTTCTGTAGAGCTGCTTTGCTGTTATGACATCAGGAATGGTCTATAGGGAGTAGAGGAGAAACCAAGGACAGAAACCCCACAAAATGATAAATGTCCTCAAAGTTGATAAATTTCATCCCAGCATTCCCTTGGACCCCAAAGTAGGAACAATTTCACAGCCTCATGCTGAAAGATGGAAACATTTCTTCTCATCCTTTCCAGGATTTTGGTGGTGGTTCTCTCCCAGTGAGTAAGATCGTAATCCTTCAGTCTGGGACCCTAAATTTAGGCAAAACGTAGCATCTGCCTGGCCTGTGATAGGTGCTTAATAACTAGTTGTTGAAAGCTTGGATAGTACATTACGGTGTAGTGTAAAAACAAGTAGACTGGGAGTAGGGGAAAAAATAACACAGTTCTTGCCCAGGCTCTGTGACTAATAACTTCCCTCACTCTCAATTTGTTTATCTGTAAAATGAAACATTAATTGAGCTTCTATAGTGAACAAAGCTCAGGGTTATGAAGAATAGAATGAAGAAATTCAAGTTTAAGAAGCAGTCTTTAACACAAATGAACTGATTTACAAAACAGAAACAGACTCACATAGAAAACAAACTTATGATTACGGGGGGGCAAGGGGAAGAGGGTGGGAAGGAATAAACTGGGAGATTAAGATTTGCAGATACTAACTGCTGTATATAAAATAGATAAACAACAAGGTTCTACTGTAGAGAACAGGGAACTATATCCAATATCTTGTAGTAACCTATAATAAAACAGAATATGAAAAGGCATGTATATGTTTGACTGAAATATTATGCTGTGTATCAATAATTGATGCAACATTGTAAATGGACTATACTTCAATTTTAAAAAAGCAATGTATACATATATACACGTTATATATACATATATACACTTATGTAAATTAAACTTTATCTTCAGAAAAGATGATAATTATTTTAGGAGAGACATTAATGAATAGTATAGTGATGAAGCTCTGACACTGGGTTCAAAACTCAGGTCCTCCATTCATCAGTAAAATGAAGGTAAGAATAGCATTGCTGTGAAGATAAAATAAAATAATGCATATGAAGCACACTATAATAGAACATAGCAGACCATAAATATTAGTTATTAATAATTAACTATGAACAAGTGACTATAGTGACTATGATAAAACGAGATGTAGCTAACATGTTAATATATTCTTCTGCAGCTATTAGAGAGATGAAAAACTTTATGCTGACTGCCCTGTGAATGGAGAGGGGTAGGGTGTGGGCACGAGGCTTCTGAATTCCTTTTGATTTGGCTCATAAAGCAGGAGAAGTATTTCAGTGAAGAACATGGGGGCGTGGGAAAGCCTGTTCTTTCCCAGGAGGAGAGGGGCAGTGTTATGAATGTCAAGGTAAGGAAAGGGCATCACGTAGACATTCTGTCATGAAGAGAGGGTTGGTGTTGTCGGAGATCCCAGGGTAATCTGATGTAACAATTTTGTCCTCCTTCAGGAGCAAATGGATTATTATTGTCCTTAAGTGCCTATCTGATGTCACTATTCCTCCTCTTCCTATCAGTAGAACTCTGTTTTGGTGTCAGTGTGTCCATTGAAAAACGTTCACCCATGCTCATCCCTTGCCGCTAGGCAAGATTATATGATCTTGTCCCAGCCAAAGAAATTCAAGCAAAGATCTAGTCGGAGTAGGAGGCTTCTGGGCAAGCAATTATATTCCTGTCCAAAAGGGACCATTTCAACTGGCAAGCAGCTTTGCCCTCACTCCTTTTCCGTCTTTCCTTGCTTCTGCCATGAACACAGAAACAATGTCAGGAGGAAAAGTCATCTTGCACGATGAGGACAAAAACCACACCCCCATGGAAGGTGGAGCAAGATGGTGGAATGGGTCTGAATTTTTGATGGGGCCCTTGAAGGGCCACACAGGCACTATGCTGCCTGCCTCATGTTTCTTATCACAGGAGAGAAACAAAGTCCTATTTGGTTAAGCTGCTCTAATCCAATCCCTGTTACCTGTGACTGAATACCCTTTTAACTGATACTTTCAGCTCCACAGGCCTTGGTGGTTGTGTCTTTTTCTGTACAATATGCTTATCACTATGCTAAAAAAGAACGTGGGACATTTCTTGTTTTCCCTACGGGAGGTGCCTTTGATAAGGCTCTTTTCAATATGTATATTTCCTTGAATAGATTAAGGAAGAATTCGTATCTTTGAATCCAAACTACATGAAGGAAATGAGCTAAAGGGAAGTTGTAATAAAATTTTAGCATTGGAGGGGATAATTTCTGAAAACCAAATCCAATTTATGGGCCCATAATCCTTGCCCCAAGGAACATTTTAAAAACAGTTTAAGAGCACCCTTTCTTTGGCTGGAGAGGTCTTTATAGAGTGGCTCAAGCTGTAAGCTGCAGACAGAACCTCTCCATGTATTGTCTACTGTTTTCCCAACTGCTACCCAGTGAGCAGAGCCAGCTAGTGAAGATTCTCACCTCCTTCAACAGGATGAATTAGTGAGGGTGGTGCTTGGAATCAGATGTAATAAAACATAAAGGGCTCGGGAAACTCTTTGATCTGTCTCAATCTCCTTGTTCATGTCAATGGAAAAAATCAAAATAAATAGACAAGTCACCTCACGTCCAGCAGATCCCAAAGTAACAGACTATGTGGAAATTGGAATTAGATCATTGAGGGATATCAAACTAAAATAATTGTACTTCATTCTGTGAGGGCAGACCAGCATTCTCAGAGCTGAGGTTTATTATTGTTGTTGTTAGCAACAAGATTAGCTGGCACTTGAGTGCTCACTGTGTTTCAGGCCCTGGCCATTTACATGGGTTATCTCAGTTAATTAAAAAAAAAAACCTTTCGAAAAGTTACTAACATTGGCTCTTTCTTAGCATGTGAGAACACTGAGGCTCAGAGATGTGAATGGTTTGTTCAAGTTCACCCTTTGTTATGAAATACCCTATCATC